CCCTCCCTCCCTTCCCTCCCTTCTTTCTCTCTTTCCCTCTTCCTTTCTTTCTTTTTTTTCTGAGACAGAGTCTCACTCTGTTGCCCAGGCACTGGAGTGTAGTGGCACAATCTTGACTCACTGCAACCTCCACCTCCTGCGTTCAAGTGATTCTTCTGCCTCAGCCTCCCGAGAAGCTGGGACTACAGGGGTGCATCACCACGCCTGACTAATTTTTATATTTTTTAGTAGAGATGGGATTTCACCATGTTGGCCAGGCTGGTCTTGAACTCCTGACCTCAGGTGATCCACTCGCCTTGGCCTCCCAAAGTGCTGGGATTACAAGTGTGAGCCACTGTGCCCAGCCCTGGCTCTACTTCTTATGCTTCAGGAACCAAACCAGGTTCCTGGGGGTACACAGAGAAAAGACAGAATCTCAACTCTTCATGCATGGGAGTTGACTGGGAAAGCCAGTAAATAATGATGAGAGCAAAGAAAAGGAAGCAGGACGCAGGGGGAGGCTTCACAGAGGAAAGGGCATTTTAATTGACTCAGATAGGAGGCAACGGCAAGAGCACATGCAAAGGCATGGAGGTGTGGGACAGCAGGGTTCACCTGGGGGCCCTGAACTGGGCCTGGGCATCGGATGTGAAGGAGCAGTGGCAGGGATGGAGCTGGGAAGTTGGCTGAGGTCAGATCATGAAAGATCCTCAATGCTATGCCTGGGGGTGTTGGAATTTACTCTTGGGAGTGGAGCCTACTATTGGTTTCACATAATAGAATCGGAATCTTAGAAAGATCTCTCTGGGACCAGAATAGATGATGGATCGGCAGGGACAGAGGCAGTGAAACCAGTCGGGGGTGACTGCAGTACACTAGGCAAAGGGTGCAGACTGTGAGCTGAGAATGGAGCTGGAAGTAGATAGGCGGGTGGAGAAGAGAGCCTGAATGAGAGACTGGGAGGAGGACTCAGAGTACTGGAAAGCAAATTACATATGGTGGCAAGGGAGCTTTGGTAGACACTTCTCTGTGTGCCTCTCACACTCTGAAACATCTTGGCATGCCAAGAACGTAAGGGCCTGAGTATTCGTGGCCGAGCACGGTGGCTCACCCTGTAATCCCAGCACTTTGGGAGGCCGAGGCAGGTAGATCAGGAGGTCAAGAAGTCGAGACCATCCTGGCCAACATGGTGAAACCCCGTCTCTACTAAAAATACAAAAATTAGCTGGGTGTGGTGGCATGCGCCTGTAGTCCCAGCTACTCGGGAGGCTGGGGCAGGAGAATCATTTGAATCCGGGAGGTGGAGGTTGTAGTGACCTGAGATTGCACCACTGCACTCCAGTCTGGTGACATAGTGAGACTCTGTCTCAAAAAAAAAGAAAAAAAAAAAAAGCAAGGCCCTGAGCATTCGTGACTTGGGCCATTCTTGCAGGTTGTGTCTGCAGTAAGGCAACCTTGAGGGATGAGGTAATGTCTCCCTTTGGGAGCAAGAGCAGGCTTACTTACTGCTTACTATGAAAAGCAGTGGATGCCCTGGGCTCATTGTTCCTCAGCTGTGGTTCAAACCACTGTATGTGTAGCATTTACCTGGGCCCTATGCGTCCCACCTGTGGGATGGGGAGGACCAGCAGAACCCATGCAAACATAATGTTCATGCCACTTGCTGCTTTGTGAGTAAAGTTGTTTTTGACCCAAGAATCTCATCTTTTATTGTGAAACAGCAGAGTCTTCTATTCCATAAGTCACAGGCTAACTTTTTAGCTTGTAATCTGGGGGACAATCAAATCCCAGACTGGACAGGGAGAAGCAGAATTTCTGGCTTGAGTGACTTGGTATAAAGTAGTGTCTCTCACCGGGGGAGGAACTGGTATGTAGGAGCGAGAGGATGAGGTCAGTTTTATACATGGTGATTGTTTTCCTGCCAAATAGGTGTGGTTCTTATATACAGCGATTGGTCACTGGAGCTTACAGACCTGTTGGTAAATTTTGTCCCTAACTGAAGCAGGAACAGAAACCCCTAGAGGTTGGTCACTCTCACACCACAGCCATCCACCGTGATCCTTTAGTGTGTTCTGCTGGCACCTTCCCAGAGTGCAGGTGGAAAATAAATGTCTTTGTTGTTGTTGCTGTTGTTGTTGAGATGGAGTTTCCTCTTGTTGCCCAAGCGGGAGTGCAATGGTGTGATCTTGGGGGTGGAGCCTACTGTTCCTACGGCTCCTACGGCTCACTGCAACCTCCACCTCCCAGGTTCAAGTGATTCTCCTGCCTCAGCCTCCCAAGTAGCTGGGATTACAGGCGCCCACCACCACGCCCAGCTAATTTTTTATATTTTTTTATTTTTGGTATTTTTAATAGAAATGGGGTTTCACCATGTTAGCCAGGCTGGTCTTGAACCCCTGACCTCAGATGATCCACCCGCCTCGGCCTCCCAAAGTGCTGCGATTATAAGCATGAGCCACTGCACCTGGCCATGAAAATAAACGTCTTAAGAGAACCTGAGTCATGTGAATAATCAGTAGAAGTGTATTCCTTTTATATATCTTATTAAATGTGCAGTATTACCCAGCAACCTCAACTATACCAAGAAAACCGGGTTTTGGGGAATGCCGTGGACCACTCTCTCCCTTCTCAGTTCTGGTGGTTCTAGGGAGAACAAGCGATGGAAGAAAAAAGGCAAGTGGGGTGGGAGAGGAAGGTGACAGTGGGCGAAAGAACAAATCCAAGACATTTTCTTCTTGGGCAAGGACTCTGTGTCTATTGCCAGCTTTGCCCATATAGCAAGGGTTCAGTAAAAGTTTTTGAATATCTTCATTTTGGTTTTTGTTCATCCATTACACAATCCTAAATAATTCCTGTTCATATTTTGGTAAGTAAAATTTTAATATCTTTTTTCCTTTACGTCATGGATTCAGTTGATAAAATAGTTCTGGTCACTTACCCGGTCATTCAATAGCTGATGGTTTAGGGGTGTCCAGGTGCTCATCTTTGTCTGCATTTTGGGACCACCTATGTTTTTTGGAGGTGCAAATGCCATCATGAAACAACTGGATATCCTTCCATAAGAAAAACAGCACCTATCAGAAGAAGTGAATCATATAACCCTCAGAAAACAAAAATTACTAATACCGGCTGGGTACGATGGCTCATGCCTGTAATCCCAGCACTTTGGAAGGCCAAGGTGGGCAGATCACTTGAGGTCAGGGATTCGAGACCAGCCTGGCCAACATGGTGAAACCCTGTCTCTACTAAAAATAAATGTTAAAAAAAAAAAAAAAAAAAGCTGGGCGTGGTGGTACATGCCTGTAATCACAGCTACTAGTGATTAAGTAGTTAAGCAGGAAAGTCACTTGAACTTGGGAGTTGGAGGTTGCAGTGAGCCAAGATAGCACCACCGTACTCCAGCCTGGGCAGCAGAGCGAGACTCCACCTCAAAATAAATAAATAAATAAATAAACCAATACTAACACCATATAATTTTGTAGTATGTTGGCAGAGGGAATGGGGTGGGAAGAGCATTTATTGGGGGCATCTTATATGTCAAGCACTTCATATGTCTCCTCAATGGAAGCGCACAATTATCTGGTAAGGTGGTGGGTTTTAACTCATTTTACACATGAGGAAAATTTGGCTTATTGATGTCACCCTGTCCAAGGACATACAGATAGCAAGTGGTGGAACTGGTAGTTGGACCCAGGTCAGTTTAATGCCACTTTATTTTCACTGGACTCAGGGGGGAAATCCAGAATCACCGCTAGCTGAGGACATACTATATTGGCCAGGAAGAGAAGTATTTTAAATTTAAAATCATCATGCAATATGAAACACTTCATTCTTGTCCCTTGTGATATTAACTCTCCTCCTCCCCTCTTAACTTCCAGATATCCAAGTAACAAGAACTCCTGCCTGAGAGTATATTAAAGAGGTAGCATGGCGGGAGAGACAAAGCCAAGGCTTTGGAAATGAACAGATTTGAGTTTATTGGGGGAAATTTGCTATTTTTAGTTATCCAGTATATGTCTGCCTCCTTTTGATTAAAGCACTTTAATTTTCAGGAGGAATTACTTTTCCCTCATTGTTTAGAGCCTGATGGTTTAATTAATTAAGGTAGCCTGTCCTTCCCTAGCCAAGAGATGGTCATGAGACCAAACTAGGCCAACTGGGCTGACAATGGCTTATTCTTATTCTTATTTTATTAACTGATTTATTTACTTTGAGATGGAGTCTTGCTCTGTCACCCAGGCTCGAGTGCAGTGACACGATCTCGGCTCACCACAACCTCCGCTTCCCAGGTTCAAGCCATTCTCCTGCCTCAGCTCCCCTAGTAGCTGATTGAGAGTAGTTCTGATATATACACTCAGGGTTGCAGGCTTCTGTATTTTCCACGCTCTGGTGGTGGGTTTCACAAGGACAGGTAGCAGAGATGGCTAATGGGACCAGGGCCTGCTTGCCTGATCAATGGGCTCCACAAATGACCCCACAGCAACAGATACTGGATATTTTTTATTTTTTGAGAACGAGTCTTGCCCTATTTCCCAGGCTGCAGTAGAGTGGTGCAGACACAGCTCACTGCAACCTTCACCTCCCAGGTTCAAGCGCTTCTCCTGCCTCAGCCTCCCGAGTAGCTAGGACTACAGGCGCCTGCCACCATGCCTGGCTAATTTTTGTATTTTTAGTACAGAACGGGGTTTCACCATGTTGGCCAGGCTGGTCTCGAATTTCTGACCTCCGGTGATCTGCCCACCTCAGCCTCCCAAAGTGCTGGGATTACAGGCACAAGCCACTGTGCCCGGCCTTGGATAATTTTTTTAAATCATTATTTTTTGGCTGCTATGGGATTTTCCCAAACACTATCTGAGATCTTTGAGGTTCTCATTTGACATGTAATACTCTCTCTCAGGAAGATAAAGCCCACGTTTTAAACCCCCTTGGGTGTCAAGACAATGCCTTCCTGCAATTGTCTGCTGCCAATATGCCACTGGAATGAGGGGCGCTCAGATCAGCACTCAGGTTCTTCTCAGCCTCAACAGCTAACTATCTGAGACATAGTTAGGTGAGTTACTAAGCCAAAAGAAATGATTTCATTACAATAATATTACCTGGCAGCTAATGATAAAAGTACATGTGAGCAAGCCGGCATGGTGGCTCACACCTGTAATCGCAGCACTTTGGGAGGCTGAGGCAGGTGGATCACCTGAAGTCAGGAGTTCAAGGCCAGCCTGACCAACATGGTAAAACTCCATCTCTACTAAAAATACAAAAATTATCTGGGCATGGTAGCGCACCTGTAATACCAGCTACTCAGGAGGCTGAGGCAGGAGAATCGCTTAAACCCAGGAGGTAGAGGCTGCAGTGAGCTGAGGTCCCACCACTGCACTCTAGCCTGGGTGACAAAACAAGACTGTCTCAAAAAAAAAAAAAAAAGTTATAGATACAAAGTGTAGCCTCTGAGTCTAGCTCTCCCCAGCTAAAAAGTGATATATTTGTTTTTGTTGTTGTTATTTATTGTCTACATTTCTTCTTCTTCTTCTTCTTCTTTTTTTTTTTTTTGGAAGAGTTTTGTTGTTGCTGCCCAGGCTGGAGTGCAACGGTGCTATCTTGGCTCACTGCAACCTCCGCCTCCTGGGTTCAAGTGATTCTCCTGCTTTAGCCTCCCTAGTAGCTGAGATTACAGGCATGAGCCACCAGGCCCAGCTAATTTTATAGTTTTAGTAGAGACAGGGTTTCACCGTGTTGGTCAGGCTGGTCTCAAACTCCTGACCTCAGGTGATCCACCCGCCTCGGCCTCCCAAAGTGCTGGGATTACAGGCGTGAGCCACTGCTGTGTCTGGGCTACATTTCTTCTTTTTAAATTAGTTTTTTTTGTTGCCTGTAATCCCAGCACTTGGGAGGCTGAGGCAGAAAGACTGCTTGAGCCCAGGAATTTGAGACCAGACTGGGCAACATTGTGAGATCTTGTCTCTACACAAAGTTAAAAAACCAGAAAATTAGCTGGGCATAGTGGTGCACGCCTGTGGTCCCAGCTACTTGGGGTAGGGGAAGAGGGCTGAGGTGGGAGAATCACTTGGGCCCAGGAGGTTCAGGCTGCTGTAAGCTGTGATTGAGCCACTGTACTCCAACCTGGGCAACAGAGCAAGACCAATTTTTATTATTTTAAAAAGAGCAATTTTATTATTTTAAAAAGAGCAATTTTTAAATTATTTTAAAAAATAATAAAAACATAAAAATTAAATGAGTTGTTTTGAATCCTTTCTAAGAGCTACATGGCTCTTGGAGAATATGATGAAAGCTATGAATTCTTCCCCTAGAAAAATGCACATACGCACAAAATTTTGCTTACCCCTGCTCTATGCTGAACAACTCTCTCCTTTCCAGTTTGTGTAGGAAATCATGTGACAGATCCTAGGCACGTTCTTCTGAATGAGGACAAGTAGCTTTCCTTGGTAACTCCCCTAAGGGTCTGCACTGGTTGTTTTCTTTTTCCTGGTTCCTCAGAGCTACGTGTCACTTAGATTAGACTTTCTTTCAACCTGCTTAAAGATAGATGGGTTTTCAGCAGATGGGCCTGGCCCCCGGAAGCAGCCCTCTTGGCCATATAGGCCAGTGTGGATGTCCTGCCTCGTCTCTTGCTATTATCCTTTTACAGTATTTTCCTCCTTTCATTCCAGAAGACAGGCAGTATGTGTATTTGCATGCACGTACATGCTCACAGAACAGACCACTTGCTATTATTAAGACAGATTTTTTTTTTTTCTTTTGAGATGAAGTCTCACTCTGTTGCCCAGGCTGGAGTGCAGTGGCGCGACCTCGGCTCACTGCAACCTCCGCCTCCAAGGTTCAAGTGATTCTCCTGCCTCAGGCTCCCGAGTAGCTGGGATTACAGGCATGCACCACCACCCCTGGGTAATTTTTGTATTTTTAGTAGAGATGGGGTTTTCCCCATGTTAGTCAGGCTTGTCTTGAACTCCTGACCTTAAGTGATCCGCCCACCTTGGCTTCCCAAAGTGCTAAGATCACAGGCATGAGCCGCTGTGCCCAGCTACAGAGATTTTTATATAACACATACAAAACATAATTGTCCCCACTTAACAAAACAAAGCCAGTTGTCATCCTCTGCTTCCACAGATGTCTTGCTGTTGCTTTTTGTAATCTCCTTCCCTGTAAGGACTACCTTTGAATATTCATCTTTTTCTTTCTTTTTTTCTTTTTGGTGGGTGTGGGGGGGCAAAGTCTCACTCTGTTGCCCAGGCCGGAGTGCAGTGGCACAATCTCGGCTCACCATGACCTCTGGCTCCTGGGTTCAAGCAATCCTTCTGCCTCAGCCTCCCGAGTAGCTGGGATTATAGGTGCCTGCCACCATGACCAGCTAATTTTTGTATTTTTAGTCGAGACGGGGTTTCAATATGTTGGCCAGGCTGGTCTCAAACTCCTGAACTCATGATCTGCCCACCTTGGCCTCCCAAAGTGCTGGGATTGCAGGCATGAGCCACCGCGTCCAGCCAAATATTCATCTTTAATTTTTCTTAGAATTAAAATACAGAAAGAGGGCCTAGGACCCTAGTTCTTGACATATGGTTCTAGTCTCATTTTCAATAGCAAGGATGGGTCCTCTGGCCACATACTTCCAATTTGATCTTCTAAGCCTTTCTTTTTTTTTGACAGGGTCTTGCCCTGTCACTCAGGCTAGAGGGCAGTGGTGTGATCACAGTTCACCATAGCCTCGACTTCCTGGGCTCAAGTAATCCTCCATGTCAGCCTCCCAAGTAGCAGAGAATACAGGTGTGCACCACCACTCCTGGCTAATGTTTTTGTATTTTTTGTAGAGACAAGGTCTTGCTCTGTTGCCCAAGCTGGTCTCAAACTTCTGGGATCGAGCAATCCACCATCTCAGTCTCCCAAAGTGCTGAGATTACAGACATGAGCCACCACCTCCTGCCTTAAGCCATTCTTCACACTGTCATCATTATTTAACCACCTTACTAAGTACCTACAAGGCAGATGTTAGGGGTACAAAGATAAGAGTCTGCTTTAATAGAGCTTACAGTCTCCTGTTAGGTATTTTTTAAAAGACCAGTTGATCATGTCACTTTTCAGCTCTAAACCTTCAGAGGTTCACTGATGGCTACAGGATCCAGACTTCCTTGCACGGAAGTCTAGGTCTGCCATGATTTTACCTCCATCTACTCTTTCAGCCTCACCTGGCCCCACCTTTATGCACTCTCTGCCCAGACACACTGAACTCATGGCCACTCTGAGAACGTGCCACACAACTCTGGATTCTTGGCTTATGTAGTTTTTTGGTGCTCACTGCTCACCTGAATCATCACAGTAGTATATCATAGGTACTCAATACTTGTTAAATCAATAGAAAAAATGACTACAGCAGTGGAAGTGGGGAGCAGTTTAAGGATTAAAACTTGTAGAAATGTTTGGGAGGCTGAGGTGGGTGAATCACTTGAGCTCAGGAGTTCGAGATCAGCCTGGGCAACACAGTGAAATCCCGTCTCTACCAAAAACAAAACAAAAACAAAAAATTAGCAGAGTGTGGTGGTGTGTGCCTATAGTACCAGCTACTCGGGAGGCTGAAGTGGGAGGATTGCCCTGGGAAGCAGAGGTTGCAGTGAGCCAAGATCATGCCACTGCACTCCAGCCTGGGGGACAGAGTGCGACCCCATCTTGAAAAACAAAAAAACCACCACCACCACCACCACAACTTGTAGAAATGTAGGCCAGGTGTGGTGGCTCATGCCTATAATCCACGCATTTTGGGAGGCTGAAGCAGGAGGATCTCTTGAGCCCAGGAGTTGAAGCCCAGGAATTCCAGACCAGCCTGGACAGTACAGCAAAATCCTATCTCTACAAAAAAAAAAAAAAAAAAAATTGCCAGGTGTGGGTGTGGCGGTGGGTGTCTGTAGTCCCAGCTACTCAAGAGGCTGAGGTGGAAGGATCGCTTGAGCCCAGGAGTTCAAGGCTGCAGTGAGCTATGACTGCACCACTGCAGTTCAGCCTGGGCAACACAGCAAGACCCCATCTCAAAAAACAAAAAAAAACCAACCAACCAAAAAAACCAAAAAACAAAACAAAACCCTTGTAGAATTGTAGAAATGTAGAGTGAAATTCAGAACATGATACTGGGCTCTGGGGTTATATGCAGAGTTCACTGAGTGTAATAGGATTGGGTCTGTCTGCTAACAGAATTTACTCATACACTGTAATATCATCAGACAAGGGAATCTAAAATTATTATCAGGAAATTATCAAGAAATAGGGTATGGGTAGATTTAAGTACGAATTCATCGTCCGCTTAACTAGTTTTTAAAAAGCAAGAACTATAATACAACGCAAAGAGCTAGTGCTTGGTAGGCATATAATATCTTAATATCTGTGGGTTGTTAATTTCACAAGTATGAATATCTGGCAGTTGCACTGTAGCCCAAATGAGAGGGTACAATGAAATCCCCAGGACCACTGACAAGGCTCATGAGAGACCCAGGAGCTTTCCAAAGAGAGTCTCCATCTTTTTCATGCACTGCCTACAGCTCTCACCTCTTTTAGCTTGTCTTCCTCTTCAAGTCTCGAGCGCTGACGTTGCCACAGTTGCATTAGGTCAGCTTTCCTCTGACTCCCTCCAGCCCCTCACCCCTCCCAGCTTCCAGCAAGCCCAATCACCGCCTATAAATCCCGTCGCTGGCATCCGGGGTCTCTTAGGCAACAATGTGTGGGCTCTTGATTGGCCGTGAGATCCAGGAGGGCTGGCTACAAAATTGGGCACGGGGATAAAATTAACAAGTGTGGCGGCCGAGAGCGTGGGAGGGACTGCAACGTCTCAATATAACCCGAGAATGAAGATGCGTCGAATCCTGAAACAAGCAGCGTTGAAAACCTTCATTCAAGACGTAGTGTGTCCCAAATCAGCCCTACCTACCTACGGAGCATGCCCAGTCACATTGTCCTGGTCACTCCGGAGCTGCGAAATGCAGGCTCCACTGTGCCAGGTTTTAAGAGTGGCCAACAGGTAAACAGAGGGTTGGAGGAAGAAGAATTCGAGACTGGTTCAATGAAATAATAGCACCTGCAACAGGAAGTGGAAGGATGGGGCCAGGAGGAATTGCCCAACACACAGACACACAAATGCTTAAATACAAATTTCAATTTATTGGATTATAGAATTCAGGCTGACTGACAGATACACCAGGGAACCAGCAGATGGCATGCCCTAATAAGAATAACTAAATTTGGGAACTCTTAGAATCCCGTCCAATTCATTAAATTTATTGAGCGCCTGTCTTGTAATAAGAAGCGAAATGGGAATACAAGGATAAAAAAGAAAGTGCAATATACAAATACCTAATGGAAGGCTCCCACGGTTAACAGCTGTTATAGAGTTATGAACAAGTGCTGAAGGATACCAAAAAGTTCAAAATTCCGGAACAGAGGTCCTTTGGTCAATGTAAATCAGGTCTTATAAGCAGCAGTGGACAACAACAAAAAGCAAAACAAAACAACAGCAAAAAAGACTTTCCTATCTTTGTTTCCCAAAACCAATAAGAAAGCATTCTCTGACTTAAATGTACAAACCCTGTGTTTCTGTTGTGTTTTATAGTTTTTATTTTTATTTTTTAGGGGACGGAGTTTTGCTCTTATTGCCCAGGCTGGAGTGCATTGGTGCGATCTCAGGTCACTGCAACCTCTGCCTCTCAGGTTCAAGCGATTCTCCTGCCTCAGCCTCCTGAGTAGCTGGGATTACAACCATTTGCCACCATGCCCGGCTAATTTTTTTGTATTTTTGGGGGAGACAGGGTTTCACCATGTTGGGCAGGCTGGTTTCAAACTCCTGACCTCAGGTGATCTGCCCGTCTCGGCCTCCCAAAGTGCTGGGATTACAGGAGTGAGCCACCGTGCCTGACCTGTTTTATAGTTTTTAAATAGGCACCATTTGTGTATCTCCAGTTTGAAAAGAAAAAGTGAAGCTCATAGAAGTTGTTGCTTTCCTTAGATTAAAATGGATCAGTAAGTGGCCAAACTGAAATTAGAACCTACGTTGTTTGAATTCCAGCCTAGGGATTTTTTCCACATGACCAGGTTGTACCTAAATGAATAAACAAAGCCTTGGGGAAAGGGGCGGTGAGGGGGTGGCCTGGGGGAGGTACTTAGATGCAATACTAAATTACCATGTATTACCAGTTAGCTTTTATGGTTTCAAAACGGGTTCATCCAGAAAGAGACCAGTTTTAACAATGTCGGGAGTGCTGTGTCTCTCTATGAAGTTCCCGCTCATTAAAGACTTCGCATTTGTGGTTACAACATGGAATGAAAGAGAGATGGGATCATAGAGAGCATCTCCTTTAGCCCTGTTGGATTTGAATATTTTCATTCCTGAAAAGAAGATCTCTTTCTTCTTGCCTCTCAACCAACACCTTCTGGGCCTCTTGTTGTCCTGCACCTCATCATCAGACTACTGTCCTCCCAAAAGAACCTGAGCCACACCGTCCACACTGTGTTCACAGTGAGTTCTCAATGTCTGACACTGCAACATTACTTTTTATTTATTTTTTTATTTTTAAGAGACAGGGATGGCTTTGTTGCCCAGGCCGCAGTGTAGCGGCACAACCATAGCTCACTACAGCTTTGAACTACTGGGCTCAAGCAATCCTCCCAGGCTAATTTTTTAATTTTTATTTTTGTAAAGACAGGATTTTGCTATGTTCCCCAGGCTGGTCTCCAACTCCGGGCTCAAGCGATCCTCTCTCCTCGGCTTCCCAAAATGCTGGGATTATAGGCCTGAACCACCTCACTCAGCCCCAAATATTAATTACTTTTAAGGGGGGCATTTCCAACATAAAGAAAAGTTTGGACACTTTCATAAGAAACATCCTTGATTCTCCACGGAGATTTTTAAAAAATGTTACATTTGTGTGGAGATTTTTAAAAAATGTTACATTTGTGTGTATTTCACAGATACAGGAGAAGCTTCTTTTGTCTCATTCCCAGGTCTCATTCCCTTCCCTGCCTGCCTAGAGGCAGTCATTGTCACGAAATTGGTGTGCAGCCTTTCTGTCCATTTTTATGCTTTTATTATATGTATGTTTGCCCTCATAAACATTGTATAGTATTGCTAGTTTGTTTTTTTTTCCTAAAGAGCCATAATCACTTATATATCTTGTGTCCCCCCCCACTCAATGTTCTTTTTCTGAGATTTAGTCATGCTGATACAGTGGTGATCATTTCTACGTCATTCCCACCTCCCGATGTTGAGCTATGATGTGTCCCATTCCTGACAGTCTTTACAGGATGGTGGCTAAATTGAATAAAAATGCACCTCGCAGCGCATCTCCGGAGGTTCCCCAGCTACAAGGGATCTGACACACACAGATTTCCCCCACACTATCTGCCCCCTCACTCACTCTCCACAGAGGCACCGCTGGCTCCAGAGGATACACTGCCCTGCCTAGAATCAACCTAAGAATCAATATTATTTTAAACATTGTTTACTGCATAAGTATTTACTTATTAGAGAAACTGAAACTGTCATTTCAGATCTCATTTATCATGCCTGTTCACACAGCTCACCTTCTGATGTGAAACACTAGGTCTAAGTTCAATACTCTTAAACATTTACTTAACACGTATCAAGCGCCTTTCTAAAAATAATTGTAAAACACACACAACGTAAATGCACCATTGTAACCATATTTAAGTGTACAATTCTAATAGTGCTAAGTCCATTCACATTGTTCAATTTCTTTAAGTTCTATGTGCTACCGAATGAACAAAATGATGCCCATGCAATCTAGGTTCACGAGGAACAAAAAAAGAAGAGAAAGAAACGGTTAAACAGTGCAGTGAAAAGAAAAACAGCCCTTTTCTTTTCATCCCAACAACAGGTTGGGATGAATCCAGGCCCTGTTGTTAAAACGCTGCATGGCTTTAGGTAAATCCTCTAACCTTTTGGGGCGTTCTTTTCCTCGTCTGAAAAATGAGAGGTTCAGTTTAGACGATCTTTAAGAATTCTTTCAGCTTTAAAGCCGCTTATGTAGAAAAGAAGAGGAGAAACATTTCCTAAGGAGCAAAAATTGGGGCGCGCACCAGTAACGACCAGCTCCACCTGTTTCCAAAGGTCTTGGCCAAGAGGCTATGAACTATCCCGGGCGAGTAGCCTGTCTGCCACGCTGCTTCGCGTGGACCTCTGTAGCAGGCCAGAGCTCCTGCACCCCATTCCACCCTCAGCATCCGGGCATCTGCCTCTTGAGCACCCCAAATCCCCAGGTCCGGAGGTCGGCACCTCTGGTTCTCAGACCAGGTGTAGGTGGTCCTGCAATCACACCTCCGCGCTCGCTCAGGGGAGGGAGTGCATTGCCAGGAGGCCCCCGAGTGCATCTCAGACTAGCGCCTCCAGGGCTGGGAACCAGCACGCCGGAGCAGGGCAGCTCCAGACGTCAATCAGGGCGAGAGGAAGACAACAACGAGACGCTCCGGGCCAGCCCGGTATGCCCAGGCTCCGGCAGGGAGCATTGGGCCGAGCGTGCTCAGTGCGCCTGCCCGGTGCGTGCGCGCGCGCTCGTGCGCTCGCTCCCCAGGCCACGCGCCCTGGCGCTCGCGAAAGCTCGCTGTCGCTGGGAGGCGCGCGCTGGCGGTCCTCCGCCGCTCCGGGTACCTGAGGGACGCGCGGCCGCCCTCGGCTGGCGGTGCAGCCCCCACCGCTTTGGAGCCAGACGCCGGGGTCTGAGGTGAGCCCCCCGAAGCGTGTGGGCCCCTAGGCCGGGGCAGCGGGAGAGGGAGCGGAGAGTGTGGAGCCCGCGGACGCGCCGCGCCGCTGCCTGCTGCTCCGCCTCAGCCCGCGCCGAGGAGCCAGCAGCAGCCCGGCGCCTCCTCCTTAGGGATCGTTCCTCTCGTCGCGGCCACAACAAAAGCCTTGGGCACCGGGCTGTGGCGGGCGGCGGAGCGGGGGCCTGGGCCCGCGGTGGCAGCGGGGGGCCTCGGGGACGCCTAGTTTGGGGCTGAGGGCTGAGGGGGGAGCTGCCCCTGGAGACGGTTAACCCTGTCCGCCCTGAGCCCGCGCTCGGCAACCTGTGCGAGTGTGGACCGCGGTTCTCTCGCCTCCACCCCGGCCCAGACCCTGCGCGACTGGGAGAGGGGCCTGGCCGGAACCGGCGGCAGCGCGGGGCGCCGGGGGGCGTGGGCGGAGGACAATGCGCCGGTGGCTCCCTGCAGCCCGAAGCGGGCGCCGCCAGGCTCCCGGCCCCGGCTCGGGTCAGCTTCGGGCCCACCTTTGCCTGCCCACGCCTGAAAGTTTCCCCGCCGGTCCGTCAGTTTGCAAAATCCTTGCTCCCTTCCGCGAGCTTCCCCCGGCTGCCCCCTCCGCGGGCTGTGGTTTTGCCGTGGGGTGGCCACTGCTGGATGCCCGAGAGTCCGCATCTGAAATCAAGCTGTTGTGAAATAGCCTGCAAGGTTAAGGAGCCTTGTGTCCTTTCAAGACATGTAAACATTTTCCTAGAGGTGTTTTACATCCTAGGAGTCTTGAGTTCGATCCCTCTGTTGTAAGATAAGCCAGGGGGGCTTTTCTTGGCTTTGTTTTTAAGAACAAAAGCACGTGCTATGAATTGAGGCAGAGGAGTAGACTTCAGATTTAGAGAGATCGGCCCCATGAAGGAGGTTCGGCGGTTTGCCCAGTGTAGAATGACTCTCTGAATTTTGGTCCCCATCTGGATTGAGGGAGATGCAGCAGCAGTACAGCAGAGCAGCCACATCAGTGACTGCTATGGGAAAGTGTTCAGACACAGCTTCATCTTAGAGAAGTAATTCTGATCGGGAATGCTTATTGATGGGAATTGAGTTACTTTGTAAAGCCAGTATGATATGAGCAAGGAAACAAAGACCTGACCACCCCTGGGGATGTTACCTCCTTCCCTCATCCTCCTTTAGTCCTTGGTGGTGTGCTGGTGCCGTTCCTGC